TTTTAAACTGAAAACATTAAAATAAATAAAAAAATAAAATAAATTAAAATAAAATAATCACACATGTTTTTGATAAATAATGAAGTAAAAGCCATTAGTACAGTAGAGTCTCGAAAACTCGGCCTAATGTGGACCGAAGGGTGGCTGAGTTTGTGAAAATGGGGTTAAAAAAAAAAAATAAGTATGAGTGTTTCCTCAGAAAATACTGTACTGTACTTGAATGTATTGTTTACTTGAGAATACAATAGAGAATAAACTGCCCAAATACCCTTAAACAAAGGAAAAGTACTGTACGTACTTTATGAAGGCTTTTACTACATGAAAATGAAAATTAATGAATACACAGTATACAGTAATTTACCTGATAAGACAGACCTCAGAAAAATACTTTATGAGGCATAAAGCTGTCTATAATAAAAATTAATTAACTAAGGATTTTTTTGCCCTGCCTGGGTGTGGCCAAGTTATCTGGACTGCCGGGTTATCGAGACTCTACTGTATTAATATACAATAATTTTTTTTTTTTTTTTTTAAATCAATTATTCAAAAATTTTATATCTTGTTGTAGGTTTTAAATATCGTAAATAAAAAAATATGTTCCTTCTTTGAGTCTTCTATAAAGTTCATACATATTTGTTCTAGTTTCAAATTTTGTCTGAGGATAAGGAGTCATATATTCTCAAAAGTACTGTATTTGCAATGTTTTGTGAGATTGGTTATTATTTTTAAAATTTATTTTAATGTTTTCACTTTAAAAATATGTAAATTGTTTGTTTATAGAACTTTCAAAATATGTAAATCATTTGTTTTTGAATTTTGTAAATTTAGAAATAGCAGTTATAGTTCTACCTTTAGAATGCAGTTCTTTTCTTTAATTTGTATTTAATATGTTTTTAACTTGAGGCAGACCTCTGAACAGGGTCAGAAATGTTTGTTTTGATTAAACTAGTATTGGAAAGTATGTAAGGTGCAGTGTAATTAGTAATTTGTTTCTAGTTTTTCTACAAGTGCATCCTATCCATACTTCCAAAATAGATGGGCTAAATGCAATGATGCAGGTCCTGAATATAAGATAGAAACATGTCTCATTTTCCTTAATGGATAAACTGGAAATTGGGAATAATGATAATACCCTTAAATTGAGATGTTTAAATTTTGTTACAGTATAACCTGATTTCCTAATTGTGAAAATAATATGTCCTAATTCTTTATCTTCTAGGTCTTAAATATTGTAAATTAAAAATATGTTCTATTTTGAATCTTCTATGAAGTTCATAAATACTTCTAATTTTGAATTTTGCCTGAGTATGACAAACATATATTGTTGAATATACTTGCAAAGTTTTGTAAAATTAATTACTATTCTGTCAATTAAAGTTATTTAACACTGACAGACAGTAGTCATGTTTATTTTATTTTATTATTGAAAACTTTGCAAAAATGTAATAAGGGTATACTATAAAACAAATGATAGTGCAATTAAAGTAGAGCATCAAGAGAATAAAAATACATTATAAATTTGCGAATAAAAAATACATAGTAATAAAAATAGATAAATAAATAAAACTCACTCCAAAATTGTATAGCTTCTTGATAAAAAGCACCGAGTTCAGCGTTAATACGATTTTTCTTATATCGCAAGTACTTTCAACGAGTATTATATTGTTGTCCTCAGGAGAAAAAAGAACAAATTTGAAAATTAGAACGTGCAGAGTGTTCCAAGTAGAAAACGGAAAAATTTTTCTTGTCAATTTCTAAATTATAGCGTTCGGTAATTCCGTTGGTCACGTGCAACAAGCTTTTGCTGTCGTTCGAAATATCTTAAATCCACACGACTAGCAGCGCATGCGTTGAGGAGCGATCGTACTAATTGTGCGACTCTTGGCGCTTTTTGCTATTTAAACGCTGGTATAAAGTAACCCATATTTCGGGCAAGTCGAGTGTGGGGACGTTGCATGCGTCTGTGGTCATTGTAAGGAGCGCTTCCCAAATAAATGTAATTCTTCTGTTGTTACAGCTCCTGAGCAACGCTGTTTTTGACCATAACGGGTTATAGCCCTGCTGTAGAACTTTTCTGGCGAGCTCTGTGGTCTGTCTTCCTTTGTTTATATCATCTTGATGTTCCGCGATACGGCAAGCGAGCATTCTTGTCGTTGCCCCTATATACTTCTCAATTGTCCCCGTTATTGGATTTTCCAGTTGCACTGCGTATATTCCCGATTTTTCTAAAACGTCGACTTTATCCCGATCATTGCATATACTCCTGCGTAGGTTGGGTAGGGTAGTTAAAGGAAGAGTAAAGCTGTATCGCCGGAAAATACGGCTAATAAGTATGGACGGTGCTCCTAGGTACGGCAGTGCTGATTGTACTCTAGACATTTCTTTTTTGCTATGTAGTGTGGTAAACGGGAAAAGGGAATCTTTTACCCTACGTAGTACATGCGTAAATTTGGCACTTGTGAATCCAGCGTGATGTACTGCCGTTCTTACGATTTCCAGTTCGACTTTTATTAGAGCTTGCGATGAGGGAAGTAGCATCGCTCTTCTGATGAGAGCCGCTATGGCGGAATTGACATACCGCGATGGTTGAAATGCATCAGCTGGAATGATATAGGGGACTATGTTAGACTTATGATGCACCGTAAACTGCGGCCCTTCTATTGATTTCTGTATCCGCATATCCAAAAATGTTATAGATCGATCTTGCTCCTTTTCCCATGTGAAATTGATGGTGGAATGCACGCTTGAAAGTTGCTGCATAAATTGGATAAACTCCTCTTCTGAATTTTCCCATATTAGTAGAATGTCATCTACATAGTGCAAGTATAGTGATGGGTAGCACATAGCAAGTGGAACTTTGAAAACTTTTTTGTTCCACGTCCCTCATAATGAGCTCGGCTAATACTGCTGAGAGAGGAGAGCCCATGGGAACTCCTTGCTTCTGTAAATAGATTTTCTGGTTGAAGCGGAAATAGTTGTTTTCAGTGATGAAGATCAACGCTTCACGAATAGCAATTGCAAAAAGACCAACGGAATTACCGAACGCTATAATTTAGAAATTGACAAGAAAAATTTTTCCGTTTTCTACTTGGAACACTCTGCACGTTCTAATTTTCAAATTTGTTCTTTTTTCGCCTGAGGACGACAATATAATACTCGTTGAAAGTACTTGCGATATAAGAAAAATTGTATTAACGCTGAACTTGGTGCTTTTTATCAAGAAGACATAGTAATAAATATATGAGTAAATTACTAGAAACATTCACAAAAACTGAAAATGAGATAAGTACCTAGTGCTTTAATACTTCTTCCAGCAATTATTTTCTTAATAAAAAAATAAAAACAAAACATTTTTGGCCTCTTCATTAGCCTTCTTCGGGTATATGAGCAGAAAAAGAATTTGATTAAGCTTCCAAAAGTTTTATAAAATTTAAATGTTGCTGAAATTCACATAAAAATTGCAGCATTGTCTATTCTGGAGCCTTAAAAAATAATTTCTAAAAGCTCAGTTTCACTCCATTCTATACATTTGGAAGTTTAAAATCAACAGATATCCAACACGATTCAAATATAAATCCAAAGTATTCAAAAATATTTAAAATAACTTCAGAACATTTTGTATAAAATTCAAAACTGGATTAAATGAAAAACAATATACAAAATTAATATATTACATTACATCCACTTCCTTAGGGACCATCCATAAATTACATAAGGTATTTTGGGGTAGGCGGGGTCAAGGATTTCTTACTCAAGGGTAGAGGGTAATATATGTCATCTTACGTAATATTCTTATTTTTATTTTTTGATCATGTTGAATGGTGGAGTTTTGAATTTGGCTTCAATTTGGCAGTTTCTATTAAGAATGCTTGTTGTACTAATGTCAACTCGTGTGACATGATAGAATAATAACGCTAGCAGACTCACTTTTTATCATGGGATAAAGGCTGTATGGTGGTTTCTCTCATACTCCTTTTTTTTATTAGAATAAGTGCACCACTCCTATGGGTGTATAACATTAATAATACATAAACCAAAATACATGATACATAGTTACCATAATATTAGTATTTGGCTTTTAGTGAAAACTAAAATGTAAAACTAGAAATTATAGTCTTGTCTTCCATATATTTTGAACATAATTGTAAAAAGCATCAAACAATGGCTTCTGAACATAATTGTAAAAAGCATCAAACAGCAGCTTCTGAACAAGCATGTTGAATGGACATGGCCACCTGAAACCAACCATAAAGATTTCTTATTTCAGAATAAGTCTATCTTGATTGTAAATTGGACAATGATATATCATATGGTCGACATTGTCTAGGTTTTCTGTAGAGCAAAAGTAAGAGGCAGTTTCTGCCTGGTTATACATCACCAGGAAGCTTCTAAAATTACCATGCTCAGTAAGTAACTGAGCAGTAGCAAACTTTAAATCTGTAAGTGGTAATGAGAACCAATGGTTATTCTACCAGTTTTACTGCTTAATCATTAACAAGGTTGAGGCCGAAGTTTTAAACGCAAAAATGTGTACGTTGGATGTTCAATGCCGCTTTCCTGTAAGCCTAGAAGTTTGACAATGGCGTTTGGATAGTCAGTGGAATCTTGGGCTATACCAACGAGTGCGGCCCATAAGCATTTTACTAGTCAGTGTAATCATGCTAGACATTCCAAACACCTTTGTCAAACTTCTAGGCTTACAGGAAAGTGATGCTGAACGTCCGATGTACACATTTTCGCATTTAAAACTTTGGCCTCAACCTGTCTATTGTTGATTCCACTTTGCATAGCATTGTCATTAATATAATTTTTAAGGCTACTACGTGAGAGAGGGATGTGAATGTAGTCCGAGTCAGTGTCCTTTGCAGCTGACTTAGTCTCAAAGTCGGCTTTTTCATTTCCTAGTATGCCTGTATGGCCAGGAACAAATATAAAAGTTATCTTATTTACAAGATTTTTAATATGGTGCTGGATATACGTGATTTTATTGCTATTGCAATTGCGATTTAATAGAGCTTTTAGGACAGACTGAGAATCACTGTAAATGTTGATAGACAGAGCTTTGTTTGGTAGTTAAGTGGCCCACAAACAGCCTGTTAGACAGTGTCTTCTTCAGCTTGATATGTGGGAGTATCTGTACCTTCTAACATATTTTGAGCAAAACATGTCAGTTTGGAGGAAGATACAGATACTTGAACCGACATGAAGGGACTTTTGGACCCATCTGTGTAGATATTAATGTCTGCATGGTTATCCATGGAGGAAGCAGATGATACCAAATGTTCCCTGGGGATAACATTGTTTACAGGGTGATGATCAGAGATAGTAGGGTAATTGCAATGTGAAATTAGAATTTGAGCTGTCATATGAACAGTCATAGAGAGGAGTAGAGACCATTGTTGAGCCTTGATGCTTGTAGTTCTGATGTAGTAGTTTAGAATCTTTTCTACAATACATAGTGACAAAGGAAGGAGCTCTGCTAGTATCAGAGAGGCATTAGTAGAAACAGTTCTGCAGAACCTTGAAATTCTGAGGGCAAACTGTTTTTGAAGAGAGAGTAAGTTACTTGCTACTGAATTTTTACTAGTTACATGACCCCAGTTGGAGGCCGCATAAAGTAGCATTGGTTGTATTGCCCCGTTGTATAGAGTTTTACAAGTTTTATGATTTAATCCCCAGGTGCACCTAGCACATTTTAGCAGCATGTAGTTTATTTTCTTGGCCTTAGGCAAGATGTAATCAATATGGCTTCTCTCTATTCTCTCGTTTTATTTTGTATGATGTTTCTGTTTACATGTACACTAGCTACTCAAGCTGGCAAAGTTTTTTGCGTCCTTTTGTGAAAATTAAAATTTATATAAAAATTAATATTATGATGTTGATTAATGATAATAATAATAAAAAAAAGATTTTTAATAATTAAAAAATAAAGTTCTTAAAATAAATTGCTAATTTGAATTCATTAAATTTTTATATTTAAATTTGTTCACATAAACTCTTTTATAAATAATAGTACATATTAATTAACTAATTAATAATTATATATTTTGGACCTAAGGTTTTTAGGGTTTCATAAAAAAATTTTTTTGTTAAAATCTTTCTATAAAAACATGCTTAAATATTACGTAAGATAGGGAAGGGGAGGGGATCAAAGAAAATATTACGGTTTCTTACACAGGGATGGGTGGGGGTCTAGAATGGCTGAAATCATCCTTACGTAATTTATGGACGGCCCCTTATCTCTATGTTTGACATACATTTAGTAAGGCCAGCCAGGTCTGCAAAAAACTTAATTTGTGTTTACTGTTAATGCAGCTTCTATTTGCTCTTGCTTATTTTTAGTTTAGATTTGTCAAAAATTATTTTTAAAAGCTAAGCTTCACTTCAGTTTGATATTACACCAGTTTCACAGGTATATTGGGCCAAAGCTGTTGTTTACTTCTTTTTCAATATGATAGTGTCTGCTCATTAATTCTAGATGTCAGGATCTAAATGTATCTCCAATGTAGGCCAGATGAGTATTAAATCTATTGTCAGTTATTGATATTTTATATATTCTAGGGGCTTTTAACTTGCTTATTGTATTCAGTGTAAGTTTAGAAACTTTAGGGCTCTGAGTGTAGGCTGTTGGGATACAATTTGAAAATTGCAGACCTATAAATTTCCACTGGTGTCCATTTGTCTGTCTGTAATCCTTAATCTTGAAAATGGAGTTAGATAGATAAAAGTCATGACAAGATATCAAAAGTTTAGGGACAGGAGGCTAAATTTAACTAAATATGAACTTCTGGCCTAGACCAGAAGTCCCGTGATTTCAATTCAAAAATTTTCCCACAACAGAATTAGATAAATGACTGGAATGACTCTTTTTTTAATAGAAAAAGTATAATTTACAGGGACAAGACACTATTATAATCTAGTATATATGTTACAGTCAAAACCCGTTTTTAGTTAGAACGCGTTTTAACTAGTTGAAACTAGTTTATACTGAATGTCTTTGTTAAAACCCGTTTTGTCTATTTGAAACTAGTTTATACTGAATGTCTTTGTTAAAACCGGTTTTGTCTAGTTGAAACTAGTTTATACTGAATGTCTTTGTTAAAACCCGTTTTATCTA